AACCCTAGCTGTCTGAGCCTGGTCGCTTCTTAGAAGACCGGTTACAGAGGAAACTTCAGAGCAAAGGCCTCCAATTCCATTTCCCCAGCTGCCCTGGTTTAGGGTTTAGGGTTAGGGGTTTAGGGTTTAGGGTTTAGGGTTTAGGGTTTAGGCGTTAGGCTTTAGGGTAACTCAAGCCCCGCAGACCCCAAAACCCTCAAGACGCAGCGTAGGGCTTCGGGATGTAGGGCTTCTGGGGCTTATAGGGTTTTACAGGGTTTATAGGGGTTTTATAGGGTTGCATAGGGGTTTTATAGGGGTTTTATAGGGTTTTACAGGGTTTATAGGGGTTTTATAGGGTTGCATAGGGTTTTATAGGGGTTTTATAGGGTTTTACAGGGTTTATAGGGGTTTTATAGGGTTGCATCGGGTTTGTAGGGTTTAGAGGGTTATCGGGTTTATAGGGCTTAGGGAATTGGGTTGAGCGCTTTAGGATTTTAGCCCTCACCTCCCCAAAGCTGAAGGACTAAAACCCTAAAACCCTAAACCCTAAACCCTAAACCCTAAACCCTAAACCCTAAACCCCAAACCCTATAGAATCCCAGGCCAAAGCTTCCTCGGATGATGGGCGCCAAGTCAGGGACCTTTCAGACGTGGGGATCGCTCGTTTAGGGTTTGGGGTTCAGGGTTTAGGGTATGGGGTTCAGGGTTTAGGGTTTAGGGTTTAGGGTTTATACGTGTGCAGAGAAAGGGGCTTGAGGGTTTCGTTGGCTGAGGCTGTCGATTGGCCACGGGGCCGGGGCCTCAAGACCATCTAAACCCTAAACCCTAAACCCTAAACCCTAAACCCTAAACCCTAAACCCTAAACCCTAAACCCTAAACCCTAAACCCTAAACCCTAAACCCTAAACCCTAAACCCTAAACCCGATTCCCTCGACGCGTTCCCTAAGTCGTCGCCTAAGGAGCTGATGCTGTGCATGGCTTCCTGCACAGATCAAGACAGACCGGAAGGTGCCGGGTTTTTTGTGGGGGTCTAGGCCTAGGGTTTAGGGTTTAGGGTTTAGGGTTTAGGGTTTAGGGTTCAGGGTTTAGGGTTTAGGGTTTAGGAATCAGGGTTTAGGCTTTAGGAATAAGGGTTTAGGGGGGTGGGATGCCCAGGGCCGAAATGAACGCCAGAGGGGCAATCTGTGGCCAGGCTCGCAGGAGACGTCCATTTCCCTCCGGACCTTTGATGTGTTTGTCCCACTCTCAGAGCAATCGTAGAGATTATAGTTGTAAGGCAGCTACTAGAGGTAGCTACCGGCTTTCTTTCTAAGGTTGCACAGGGGAATTCTAAGGTTGCACAGGGGAATGCTTATCTTTCATCGTAGCGTGTGATCTGTTTATGGGCCCAGAGCTGGTGAGGATGACTCGCAGGATTCTTCTGAGCGAGTTGTGTGTGTATCGGCTTGCAACTGTGCAATCGCGCACAGACTGAAGCTCTTGGTGCCAGAGTCAGTTTACTGCGCAGACTTGCAGAACCACTTGATTCGAATCCATGGGGCCATTGCACGCAGAAGTTGAAAGCTGTGCGGCCCATGGTGTATTGTGGTGCAGAACGCATAGCAAATCAAAGGGGTGTACGACACTCTTTGACGTTGATTTGACGCCACCACAAAACGCTGCCATTTTTACACTTCAATGACACCCATGATTTATTGAGTCAAGGAGATTATTGTTCGCAATGCTTTGGGATGTTCCCCCTTATACTAACAGTCCTTAATACGGATTATATTGAGGGGTACTATAATCCCTTTTACGGACTGTTAGCACAGGCTGGTGTTTCCCGAAGTATCGTTGCCGTTGTGGGGTATTGCGCGGCTGTCTTCCCAGGCTCAGCCAACCTTGGACCTGACCACATCCATTCTCACCTACGTGAGAAACGTGACGGCCGAACAGGCCCGAAAGAGCAAATGGAAGTGGGAGTTCGTTCCCTGAAAGCCCTAAACCCCAAACCCTAAACCCTAAACCCGAAACCCTAAACGCTAAACCCTAAACCCGAAACCCGAAACCCGAAACCCTAAACCCTAAACCCTAAACCACCCAGGATCCTTGGGTCCTTCTGCCTGCTTCGCGAGGCCTTGTTGCTGTCCTTCCAGAGCTGGAATCAGCTGCCGGTGTCCTTGCTGCACGGGGCTCGGCTTGTGTGCCTCTTGCCGTGGTGCTAGGTAGCCTAAACCCTAAACCCTAAACCCTAAACCCTAAACCCTAAGCCCTAAGCCCTAAGCCCTAAACCCTAAACCCTAAACCCTAAACCCCAAACCCTAAACCCTAAACCCTAAACCAAGGAGGTCTTCATGTAGTAGCAACAACTGTAGGAGAGGTAGCAGCAGCAGAGAAGAAGAAGAAGAAGAATAAGAAGAATAAGAAGAAGAAGAAGACGAAGAAGAAGAAGAAGAAGAAGAAGAAGAAGAAGAAGAAGAAGAAGAAGAAGAAGAAGAAGAAGAAGAAGAAGAAGAAGAAGAAGAAGAAGAAGAAGAAGAAGAAGAAGAAGAAGAAGAAGAAGAAGAAGAAGAAGAAGAAGAATAAGAAGAAGAAGAAGAAGAAGAAGAAGAAGAAGAAGAAGAAGAAGAAGAAGAAGAAGAAGAAGAAGAAGAAGAAGAAGAAGAAGAAGAAGAAGAAGAAGAATAAGAAGAAGAAGAAGAAGAAGAATAAGAAGAAGAAGAAGAAGCAGCAATGGCAGGAGCAGCAGAGGTAGTTGCAGTAGTGGCAATCGCGGAAAACATGGCAGCAGCATCACCACTGCATCTACTGCCTCTCATACATTCCTCTTTCAGCACTAGTACGACTACGGCCTTGATGGGCCACCGTGTGATTGCAGCAATGACCACGACGCAGACAGTCACCAACCACTCCTGCTGCCAATCCTGCCCCTCGTCCTCCTCTTCCTCCTCACCCAGCATCTGCTTTGGGCACATTGAGGCCTTGCACAATCTTGGCCGGGCTGGCTTCTCCATTGTTCTGCGAGCCTACCAGGGAGCGGGGTTTGGAATAAAAGGTATCGGTCAGAGCGGAATGTTTGCATCCAGCTGCTGGAGCTATGTCAATCCCAGCGCAGGAGCAGCTCTTCTACACCTCCAGCCTTCGTTGCAGGGTGCCTCCAGGGTGTCTCAGCAGCGTTGAAGACTTTTGGGGCCCCTTGCTCGAACGTCAGGGCGCTGCGCAGTCTGCCCACATCTGCATGCCGGAGAGTGTTCAAAATTGGGGCACTGTTTTGGGTTTAGGCCGCGTGCTTTAATAGGGTGCACCGAAACGGAACCCGCTCAGACGAGGTCTGGGCCGGTTCTTCGAAGGGGATTGCTTCAATGCGCTGGCAGCAGGGGAGGCCTTTGCCACTAGGGTTTAGGGTTTAGGGTTTAGGGTTGGGGGTTCCCCTTGACCATCAAGACCTGCACCCGACAGGCTTCAGCCCTCTGAACATCTCCATCCCGATCGAGCACCTTCCACCTCCTCTGGTGATTGCCCAATCTGCACAGAGCTTGGCGTGTTGCTGAAGCTTCCGCATCATCTAGAGTTTCGGGATTAAGGTTCGGAATCCTAAGTCAAGCCCGACACGATGCACCTGTCTTCTCGCTCAGCACAAAATCAAAGACCTAGACCGAGTCCGCTGCAAGGTCGCCGACACAGCCGGCAAACTCTTGTCTGAAGTTGCGCATCTCAAGGGGCCGCGCGCAGAAAACAAATATCCCGCTCCCTATACACAGCTTCCTTGAGGCTTCGGTTTGTTCGGGCTGACATTGAGGTCACAGATCTCCACGTGGATGCACCGGATTTGATCCGCCCCGGACTTATCTTTCGGCAGACTTCGACGTTCGCCCCAGGCCCCTGCCACCAGAACCTAAATCCACAATCCACAGCCCTAAACCCTAAACCCGAAACCCTAAACCCTAAACCCTAAACCCTAAACCCTAAACCCTAAACCCTAAACCCTAGACCCTAGACCCGAGACCTAAACCCTAGACCCTAAGCCCTAAACCCTAAACCCTAAACCAAACCATCCCTCCGCTTCACGCAGCGAGGCTTCCGGGACGGCCTCGACCACCGGCCAACCAGCGTCCACTGAGAAGAATTATGGGTCTTTACGATATCAGAGGGCACCTTATTGGGGTTTAGGCGGGGTGTAGGGTTTAGGGTTTCGGGTTTAGGGTGTAGGGTTTAGGGTTTCGGGTTTGGGGTTTAGGGCACCTTATTGTAAGGGAATCCTACTCTTTGGGGACTATACTCGGGTCCCCTGATTTTCGTAGACCCTTGCAGACCCCAAAGTTGATAGGAGCCCACAAAACAAGGGTACCCCCTACACACCCGGGGGCTTCCTAGCTGTACATGAAGTTTTTGGAGGGGGGGCTGATACTTGTGTGGGTAACTCCTCTTGCTTCGATGGTGACCGTGCAAAACTGTGGCGAGACCCTCAACCCTAAACCCTAAACCCTAAACCCTGAGCCCTAAACCCTAAACCCTAAACCTCAAACCCTAAACCCCAAGCCCCAAACACCAAACCGAGGTGGAGCTGGTGCTGCTAAGCTTGGGCCTGTCGCTATCAGCATGGCAGGAGTGCGAGATGCTACCATCATAGTGCTTGAAGGTTCATGGGTACTCATAAGTAGGGTTAGGGTTTAGGGTTTGGGGTTGAGGGTTTAGAGTTCTAAGTCCCCTATGTATGGTTATAACCATCCTTACCCTTCTTATATCCCTACTTCTAAGGAACCATGAACCTCCAAGTAGGTTTCTTTTTTGGAGACCCGGCCGTAACCCTGCTGTGTCGAAGATGCTGCAAAGAGTTCGCGCGGCAGGCCCAAGCTTCAGGAGCCTAGGGACCATGGTTCTGTCCTGCTTAGCGCCCTCCGGCTCCTCGCATGGGCGCGCCCCTCGCACATCTCTGGAGTTCTATGCGGCTGAAGTGCAAAGGAACGCGGAGGCGCATGCCTTCAGCTTCGGCGGCTCCTTTGCGATGTATACCGTCCCTCTCAAGGATCTCCTCGACATGCAAGCGGTGAGATGCCATGAGGAGCTTCTGGCAGAGGGTCTGCTCGTGGCGTATGACCGGCACTTAGGGACGGCGATCTTCATCTCCCACCAATGGCGCAGCCGGAACCATCCGGACCCAGATGCCCGTCAACTTCGGGTGCTCCAAACTGCATTGCAGAACCTCTTGTCTGGGAAGACAAGCATCTCAGCACCCATCATCCACGAGATTGTTTTCGGCTCGGTGCACACTCCCACAGCGGCGGAGCTCTCTGCAACACCTCTCTTTGTGTGGTACGACTACTTTTCTTGCCCACAGGATGAGGGTGACAAAGCGGTTGCTGATCGAATGAGTGCTATCAACAGCATTCCGTCCTATGTTGGCAGGTGCCAGACCCTAAACCCTAAACCCTAAACCCTAAACCCTAAACCCTAAACCCTAAACCCTAAACCCTAAACCCTAAACCCTAATATGTTGGCAGGTGCCAGTACTTCATCATCCTGTGCCCCGCACAGGAGGACGAGTTTGGACAGATGCTGAGCGGCAAAACTTGGGCCGAGAGGGCCTGGTGTAGGGCGGAGAGGGTCGCGCGTGAGCTTGCCTGCAGCAGTGGCTTTCCTTTTGCAGTGGAGAGCACCACGCATGTGACCCTTGTCAACCAACAGCTGGGATTTTTATGCCCGCCTGGAGAGGGCCACCTCTCTTTTGATGAGGATCGGCAGAAGCTTGCCACGATAATGGTGCAGCTCATTTGGAACAAGCTCTCGCACTGCTTGATGCAAGGTGACTTGCACAGTTACCGTCTGATCTTGAATCAGCAGGATGCACGCTTGAAGAACCTCGACACCAGACCCGTTGACCTCGCCATACCGGGCTTCAACCCGAGGGAGAATCCCGACGATGACCCGGAAGGGTTCACGCTGGCAAACTTCATGCACCAGAACGGCTTCGAAACGATCTCTCAGAGGGATGAGTCGGGCTGGACACCGCTGTGCTATGCAGCAATGAATGGTGACACCTGCATCATTGCGGCACTACTGAAGAGAAGAGCCGATCCGAACGAGAAAGTGACGAAGAAGGATCCGAAAGCCTATGTTCAGAAGAACACTTCCGCCGTTAGCATCTGTGCCTGGTTCGGCCGGAATGAAGCATTGAAGTTGCTCTTGTCTGCACGGGCCCATCCTGATGCTCTGTCTGGGCTGAAGCAAACGGCTTTGGAGTGGGCGTGCTGTGGCAACAACGTCGAAGGCGTTCGCTTGCTGCTGGATGCTCGTGCTGATCATACCATCCAGAACATCATGGGCTGCACACCGTTTCAAGCAGGGTGTTGCATGGGATCCGTCGACACCATGCAGGCCATGTTGGAGCATGCTCCTGGCTCCATGTCATATTCAGTCCTGACTTTCTCAAACAGAGCTTGGGGGTTTTGGGGGCAGGGCGAGAGGGCTGCAATCTCAAAAGTGTCCCCACTCACCGTGTCACAGTGGAAGTCCCCAGGTCAGATCCTGCAACACAGCCTGCACTTCAGCCTCTTGTTGGGCGAGGGCTCCGGTCAGGCGGTGTGTATGCTCTTGCAGTCCCGTGCAGATGTGAACGAGAGGTGCAACTTCTTCAAGACGAAGACCTATGGCTGGTGGGCCTTACTCAAATCCCTAAGCTTGGCACACAGCGCAGGCTACACCTCCAAGCTCCGGAAGCTCGCCTACCACCACCATGGCGCCACGCCGCTCATGTTCAGCGTGCTGGCCGGCACCTTCGAGGCCACATATGCCTTGCTCCGTGCAGGCGCCCGCACGGACCTGCGCAACGGCCGCGGCAAAGTGGTGCTTGACCTGGCCCGAGAGATTGGGGCAACAGACCTTATGAAGGCCCTGGAGGCTGCCTCGCTTCCCTCCCTTGCTTCACCTCTTTCTGCTCCTTCGGCTTCTTGGGAAACTCAGGACCCACTGATGGCGGAGAGCTTTTGAGTTCGCTTGCATAATCGCGGTCGGTCAAGGTGCAGCGGCACAACTTGATCTGATTCCCGCGATCTCGACATCCTGACGCAGCCATCGAGGCGCAAGGGATGCGTGGCTCGGGAGCCACGGATTTTCCAAGCGCAGTGACCTCCATTGGCGTGTTGTGGGGGCTGCCTTAGGCAGCTCTGCTTTTTCTGGAGTTGCCCTGAGTCTGCTCTGGGGATCTTGGCGGTTTGTCTCACGTCCACTCTGCATTAAACTTTTTTTGGTGTGCGCAGCTTTCTTCGCGGGCTGCCTGTCCAGTCCTTCTCTATGAAGGCCTTTTCCTTGGCAGACAGCTTGTCCATGGATTGCCCTTTGCCACCTAAAAACAGACAAGATGCACGTGGAAAAGCAAAAGGAGCACATTCGAAACTGAGAGTGCCAAGGATTGAAGCGGATAGCGATGCTTTCGGGCGGGGTGATGCTTACGCAGGGCCTTTTTGTATTGTGAGCGACTGTTCTGTAGAGGATCAGCCATCCGAGCTGGTCGGCCAAGCAGTGGACGGCTGTCGTCTTACAAGGACCGACGTGCAGGAGACAAGGTAGCCTGTCTGCGGATGCCGAGCTGTGTGCTGTATTCTTTGGGACCCGCGCAGGTCAGGACCAGTTCCGCCGAGAGTTCTCAAAGGATCTCGCACCCACGCAGACGGCCGATGCCACAGGGCGTGCATCAATGCTTTCGTTGTCCGCGTGGGACGCATAGCCGATGGAAGAGGGAGGTGGGGTGTGCCGTCTCCTCCATTGCAATAGTATTGTAGCTATGGCAAAGAGTGGCTCAAAAAGCTCAAGAAGGTGAAGGGAACTGAGGAGGTCGGGTGAAGAAAAGGGGGGGAAAAGGAGTTGAAGGAGGAGAGTGATCCCTTGTGGCTGTAGAGAGGCGTAGGACGAGGAGCCCCGCTTTGGAAAACGTCCCACATGTTGGGCCCTCTTCGTAGCCCTCACAAGCACACATACGCGGACACGTCGATTTCATGCTTCAAGGCCTGGTGACCTACCTCGGTGCCGCCAACGAGACAAACTCGTATGTCTGTAGATTTGAGGTGTCGCCTGCGCCTCAGACTCACACTCCTCGCTTCCGCTGGATCCCCTACTTGGAAGTTCAGGGTACTGATAACCCGATTTTAAGTGTAGTTATAAACCACTTTAAGCCCTTTCAGTACCCTAATAGGGTCATACTTGGGTTATAAGTGCAGCTATAAGTGGGTTACTAAGTACCATGGACCTCCAAGTAGGTTCTTTTGGTAGCTTCGTTGAAGCCTCAGGTCTGGAATTCAAGACATTGTTCCTTGGGTCGAGCAGGTGGGTGTCCCAAGGAGTTTTGTGTTGGTCTGCATGTGGGTCGTCGCTGTGCAGGAGCAGCCCTCGCTGAACTTGTCCCTGCACTTCAGGACAGGCATATAAGCGCCCGGATAGGGCGGCACCACGCTGCATCCGCAAGTAGCTGGCGACAATCCTGTACTGCTCTGCTTCTTGGGTCCTTGTGGTCAATGCAATGAGGTCATTCAACCCTAAACGCTAAACCCTAAACCCTAAACCCTAAACCCTAAACCCTAAACCCTAAACCCTAAACCCTAAACCCTAAACCCTAAACCGCTTTCAGGAGCGGCTTCTTCTTGGACACCGGCCGCTCCATTACGGTGCATCCGCAGATCACAGGGGCCAGGCCCAGTTGCCCCCTGCAGGGCCTGAGGGGTTTAGGGTTTAGGGTTTAGGGTTTAGGGTTTGGGGGGGGTTTCGGGGAACCCTTCCATGCACTATGCCTTTGTGAGTGCGCCTTTGTTGGGATGCGCACACTCCCTTCCCGGCGTTCGCCCAAAATTCCCAAAGACTGAGACCTCAACCTCAGCCCGAAAATTCCGTTCAGACACCCGGGCAAAGAGAGAACCACATCTTCCCGAACACTTGGAACACATCTTCTCGACCTTCGCAGGGCGCTTCCAGCTCCCTGCGCTGCCGCACCCCCAGACGCCCCCAGACATCGGGGCGCTGACCCTGTCCCAGCGCTGTCCGAGCTGGCCGGGCTGTCCGAGAGAGAAGCAGAAGTCGCATACCCTAAGCCCTAAACCCTAAACCCCAAACCCTAAACCCTAAACCCTAAACCCTAAACCCTAAACCCTCAGGGTTGTGCTGTTCCTGCCTCTAACTGAGGACCTGCATCACTGCTCTGTGCTGGTGATGGGCTCCGGCTTCACGATCGGCGCAGCGTGCACCGCTGGGCGCATGCGATTGGGATGCGCCACAAATTAGGGTTTAGGGTTTAGGGTTTAGGGTTTTGGCCTTTCAACGGTAGAAGCCCCCAAGCCCGAGAGCCCACATGCTCGCAGCCCGGAAGCAGGTACACGTGCCTGTTCGCCTCACCTGGGCACGGCGAGCGCTGGCTCGTCTCTCCGGCTCAGGCAGCCCCTTCTGGCGGGATTGTGAATCCAGGGACTAAAGGAGGGACCCTTATAAGGGACCTTAGGGGTTCTTTGGGGCTTATCTAGGGGCTACTTAGCCATATAGGGACTGTATAAGGTATATAAATAAATATATAAATATGGGGGGAATAAGATTGAGGGTCCCTTCTAGGGTCCCTCCTCATACCCCTTAAGTGAAGCAAGGGCGCGATTGACCCTTGAGCAGGTATGCGGGTCTACATGGACTATTCAAGCAGGTATGTTCTGTCAATCTAAGCCGCACGACGGACGAAGTCGGGTGGATTTTACGGTGCTGGTCTCATGGTCGTTCTGACCACAAGCCGCGGTCTTTGACCACTGCAGGGGGGGGGGGGGCGATACAGTGGGTGGTACGGCTACACCTCGACTTCGGGGGAAGAGACTGGTATCTCAGGTTTCTTTAAGCTCTTGTCCCCGCTCCCGTTTGCACCTAGGGCCACTCTCTTGACAGCTTCTTCTGGACTGATAGCTTTGGCTCGAAAGCTGTTCCTGGGACGTGCTTGGCGTCAACTTTCCTTGGAGGCCAGGAGCTTTGAGTGCCGGTAACCTGTCAGAACTGTAGCTATTGGAGTCCCTGTTGCAATGAGGACCTGAGTCCCTGTTCTGATACGACTTGTCCTTCTGTAGCTTCATTCAGAGAGCGATGCAAGACGAAGAACTGATACAACTGTTTAGGCTGAATACTCGTTGGTGCCGCAAGGCTAAGACGACAGGTTCTGAGGAGTTCTCGAGTAGCAAGTATGAGCGCATCAGGGTCATGCTCATGGACAGAGATCCAGTGCCGTGTACGCCCTTAGCCCTGAACCCCGAACCCCCGAAGACCCCAAATCCTCAGCCCTAAGCCCCTAGACCCTAACCTGCTTAGCCTCTAAACTTCTTAACCCCGAACCTTCTCAACCCCTCAACCCCAAAACCTAAACCCCAAACCCTCAACCCTCAACCCCAAACCCCAAACCCAAACCCTAAACCCTAAACCCCAAACCCCAAACCCCAAACCCCAAACCCAAACCCTAGACCCTAAACCCTAAATCCTAAACCCTAAACCCGAAACCCTAAACCCTAAACCCTTTAATGTTTTTTGACGTTAAAGCGCCATCCTCCTTCAGCTGCACGCAGCGAGGCCCTCTCGGAAGCAGCATGGCATCGCCTCAACCTCAGCTCTGGGGGGTTTAGGGTTTAGGGTTTGGAGTTTAGGGTTTAGGGTTTAGGGTTTAGGGTTTAGGGTACAAGGTGAGGGTTTGGGGTTTGGGGTTTAGGGTCAGGGATTTAGGGTTGAGGGCTCCAGCACGAGTCAGGCCTCAGCGATCTGGGTTTTGTAGGGGATTTGCGGGGCTGTTGGGGGGTTTCACTCCTCATCGAGTGTTTAGGGGTTTAGCGGGTCTGTTATGAGATCTTTGTATGACCTTACACCCGACTTCGACGCCGAGATTTCCGCCGCGTGCACAGGCATCCGTACCCGCATTTGCTGCCGCCCTCTCCGTTGCCCGGGATGCGCCCGGTGGCCCAAGCCGGGATTCGCAGCCCTAAGCCGTATAGCCCTGAGCCCTAAGCCAAGCACAAACCCTAAACCCCAAACCCCAAAACCCTAAACCCTAAACCCTGAACCCTGAACCCCAAACCCTAAACCCCCAACCCTAAGCCCTAAACCCTCGACCCAACAGGCCCTAAAGTGCAAGAAGTCACCCCAAGTTCAAGATTGTGTCATGTCTACGTGGAGGTTCAGGGTGCTTGTTAACCAATTCTGTACTTATAACCCACTGATAAACCCCTTAAGTGCCCTAATATGGTTACTATAAGTACAGTTATATTTGGTTAATGCGTACCATGAACCTCCTTAAACCCTAAACCCTAAACCCTAAACCGCCCCTCCGGGCCACCGCACTGGGAGCCCCTTCTTGGAGGTTCATGGTTTAGGGTTTAGGGTTTAGGGTTTAGGGTTTAGGGTTTAGGGTTCATGGTACTTAGTATAGCCCAATTCCAACTGTACTTGTAACCCAATGATAAGCCTGTTAGGGTACTTAAGGGGCTTATAATTGGGTTAAAGACTACACGTACAATTGGGTCACAAAGTACGCGGAAACTCCAAGTTCCCTGCAAGTCCAGCCATTGAGAGTTTTAAGCGCGTGCCCTTCTCCCTCTTTTCAATACAAGCCGCCGCTCGGCACAATCCAAAAAACAAGTCTACACGGGATGAAGGTCCCTGGCGAAGCTTGTGGAGAGAGATCCTGTTGAGAGATTTTCCACACACCCCTGCGCAGCCTTCACAGTAAACCCTAAACCCTAAACCCTAAACCCTAAACCCTAAACCCTAAACCCTAAACCCTAAACCCTAAACCCTAAACCCTAAACCCTAAACCCTAAACCCTAAACCCTAAACCCTAAACCCTAAACCCTAAACCCTAAACCCCTTCACTGTTACCCCGAAGGTTCGCCCTCGCCTTCTCATCGGGTTGTTGTCACTGGCCCGACGACTTTTGCAGGATGGGCCGGTCACTTAGAGGCAGCCTTATGACCTAACATCACCCTATCCTGGATGCGAGTCTGTGTCGTAGAGTGGGGGGTTTACGAAAATAGGGGACCCTAAAATAGACCACCAAATACTGTAGTAGGATCCCCTTATATTAAGGACTACCCCTAATTTTCGGAAACCTCCACATGCCATTGTGAGGGGAGGCAGGGCCACGAAACCTCGAGATCCTTCTGGCGGCCTAGGCGCCACCGCAATCCCCGCAGACCTGTCAGGGCCCTAGTCCGCCCTACTCCTGTGTGCCAGGGTTAAACCCTAAACCCTAAACCCTAAACCCTAAACCCTAAACCCTAAACCCTAAACCCTAAACCCTAAACCCTAAACCCTAAACCCGGCAAAAGAGGTGCTCCACCAATGTGGGTAGCCGGAGTTCAAGGCCTGCACGGAGTCCTGAAGTGGCGAAAAAGTTTTGTAACATAGACATACATACGCACGTATGCGCATATATATATATATATACACATGGTGTATAGCTAATTATATATGTATATATGTATTTGTATGTATCATATGTGTTTATATTTGAAGATGTAGGTGTATCTGTATGTGTATGTGCATGTGCACGTGCATGTGTATTTGCATTTTTCCATTAGGGCCCTGAGCAATGTTGGAACGGAGTTTGGAATATTGCTAAAGCCAAGTCTCTTCAGCACTGGTCATGGTCAGTAAACAGCGCACCCCCACGACCCCCTGTGTCGAGGCACGCCACTGATTCTAGGGTTTAGCGTTTAGGGTTTAGGGTTTAGGGTTTAGGGTTACAGCTTGACAAACCACAGCTGGTGACCTGCTTTGCGATGCAACACGAGTTAGTTTGAAGTTTGCGGCACATCCGGGCAGGCGTTGGGCTTCCGGCACCAACTGTCGGCATTCAGCTCAGCTTTCTTTGCTTGCTTGGATTTGTTCGTCCCTTGATTGTTCTGTCTCTGTCAGGACGTTTTGTCAGAGGTCTGCCTGGTCTTCTTGCGTCATTCTCCGGATCATGGCTTGTTTGGGAGTTTGGTTTAAGGCCATGCGCTGGGTCGGGGTGTTTTTTTCGGTCATCTATGCAGGATGATAAGCAGATTGTCCTCCAATTCAATGCCCCAGAACAAGAAGAAGAAAAAGAAGAATAAGAAGAATAAGAAGAAGAAGAAGAAGCAGAAGAAGAAGAAGAAGAAGAAGAAGAAGAAGAAGAAGAAGAAGAAGAAGAAGAAGAAGAAGAAGCAGAAGAAGAAGAAGAAGAAGAGGAAGAAGAAGAATAATAAGAAGAAGAATAATAAGAATAAGAAGAAGAAGAAGAAGAAGAGAGAGAGGGAGGGAGATACACAGAGAGAGAGACAGAGAGAGCGAGCGAGAGATAGGGCACGCTTGCACATTCCGGTGTGTGTCAAGGCGGCTACATGACACCGGAAGAAGCCTCAGTTGAAAGCTGTCAGCTGTTCAGGTCTTGGCACTTTGCAGTTCCAGGATTGCGCAGCAGTGAGAAGGAAACCGTGCAATCAGAAAACACATCCGGCGAGTGTAATCTCGTGGGCCCTACTTCTCCTGTCTGAGTCAGCCGAATCGGTGCCTGGGTGTGGGCAGCCGATGCCCAGAGTCCGAGGCTTTCCAACCGCCGATGCCCGGCCCGATGATGACCAAGGCTCCAGAATGGGCCCATGACGTAGGGCTCAAGGAACTTGATCCTCCCCCTCTCTCTCTCTGCGGCTCTCTCTCGCTCTCTCTCTCTCTCTCACTCTCTCTCTCTCTCTCTCTCTCCTTTCTCTGATATCTTTCTGCTTCATCTTCTTGTGAATACTATATTTTTTATTTCATTTATATATAGATCTGTATATATATATATATATCTGTCTCTCTCTCTCTCTGTCTCTGTTTTCGTCTTATTCAAAACACATCAAGCGCAGGTCAGATCTGATGGCGCGCCGATGGCGAAGGCTGCGAGGGTGCATGAGCCTCTTGGTGCCTGCCCTACACCCTAAACCCTAAACCCCCAAACCCTGAACCCTAACCCCCCAAGCCCTCAACCCTCAACCCTAAACCCTAAACCCTAAACTCCAAGCCCCAACTAAACCTTGAAAGCCCAGCACGAAACCGAAAGCTCCACGGCAGGTGTCAAGTAGCAAAGTGTGCCCTGCCAGGTGTTGTCAGATGGTGTGACGAAGGCCCGGTACAATCCAATGTAGCCAGATATGACACGCATATGTGATATATATATATATGTACATATATATATACATATATATACATATATACAACATATATATATATATATATACATATACATATGCAGATACATACACACACACACACACAGGCCCTGTGTTTTGGTGTGCGCATGCAGAATGCCATGATGCATGTTGGGTTGATTCACTGTCCCCGTCAGACCTTGTCGGCGGGTGCTGTGACACGGGCGTGGGCCCAGGTTTGCATGTTTTTTTTTTGGGCTAAGGTTGGGATGTTCCCTCTTCTACTAACAGTCCTTAATAGGGATTATAGCAGGGGGTACTATCATCCGCATTCAGGGCTGCTAGAAAAAAGGGGGAGCTTCCCAAGGCTACGGGTTGAAGGTGGAGCTTTGTTGACATGAAGAGTCCTCGTACGAGTGACCAAACTACTGTGACTTTGATTTAGGGTTTAGGGTTTAGGGTTTAGGGTTTAGGGTTTAGGGTTTAGGGTTTTCAGGGCATTTCTGGAGACGGCTGAGTTGCCCCATAGGAGACAGGCAGAAGGAGTCCCTGAACCCTAATCCCTTTAAACCTTCAACCCTTTAAGGCCCTCAACCCTTTTGCCCCTCAACCCTTTTGACCCTCAACCCTTTAGCACAAGCCTTTAAACCTAGAACCCTAAACCCCTAAGCCCTAACTTCAGCCCGCCCTCAACCCTAAGCCCTAAACCCCACAACCCCACAACCCCACAACCCTCAACCTCAACCCTCAACCCTAAACCCTAAACCCCACAACCCTCAACCCTCATCCCTAGGCCCTCAACCCTGCAGATCTCCTGAGGTGCCTTCCGACAGCATGTCGAAGGCCACCAGTCCACCCTGGGTTGCGGGTTTAGGGTTTCAGGTTTAGGGTTTAGGGTTTCGGGTTTAGGGTTTCGGGTTTAGGGTTTAGGGATTGGTGCCCCAAAGCCGTACTTGGAGGTGCAAAAGGGTACTTGCAAGTAGGGATATAAGCAGCGCAACTACATAACCTTGTTTAGGGTACGTAAAGCCCTGGCTACAAGTACCACATGAAAAGTAGGGTGCTATGGTTATTACCTGATTTAGGGTACTTCTATAAGTACTCGTACCCATGAATGTCCAAGTAAGCCCTTCCCCCATCGTCGCGTCAGGTGTCCTCCGACGGGACTTGCATGTCCAGGGTGTCCTCCAGCCTGTGGCCCCAGGGTTTAGGGTTTAGGGTTTAGGGTTTAGGGTTTAGGGCTAAGCATGCGCTCAGGATTGCTTGAGATGATTCTCCCGAAAGTCCAAGACCCGACGGGTTTAAGGTTTTTTAGGGTTTGGGGCGGTTTCTGTGCTGTACGGAACCTAAAGTCATCGAGGAAGAACCTAAAGAAACAGAGGGAGGCACCATGACTTTCCGCTGAGATTCCCTGAGTGCATTACCCAAAACCCATGGTTCAGTTGTTCAAGCTTTGAGAAGCTTCGACGCCCTTCAAGTGGCTTGATGTCAGCACAATGTCAGGTCGAGATGCCTCCGGCATTTTCAAGGCCTCGCCTCAACAGCTCTGTGTGAGGGCTGCGTTCGCCAGAAGCCACACGGGGGATTCGATGCAGTCTACCAGGCGATGGAGGAGATGGACGACGGGATCTGAGCTTCGAGTGGACCGTTTCAGGGCTTGGTAGAGTCTCCTAAACCCTAAACCCTAAACCCCAAACCCAAAACCCAACACCCTAAACCCTAAACCCTACACCCTAAACCCTAAACCCTAAACCCTAAACCCTAAGCCCTAAACCCTAAACCCTAAACCCTAAGCCCTAAACCCTAAACCCTAAACCCTACAGTGCTTCACAACGCGTGGCGGCGTAGCGTGGCGTCGGCGCTGCTGAGGCCGAAACACTGGAGATTTGCCAGAGAATCGACGCCAGCGACCAAGAGATGTGCATGTGAAGCCCTAAACCCCAAACCCCCAAACCCCCAAACCCCCAAACCCCCAAACCCCTAAACCCCTAAACCCTAAACCCTAAACCCTAAACCCTAAACCCTAAACCCTAAACCCTAAACCCTAAACCCTAAACCCTAAACCCTAAACCCTAAACCCTAACCCTAAACCCTAGACCCTAACCCGTGGTGCTCTTGCCTATTCTGTTCCCCTATAGCCCTTGTGGAGGCACCTGTGGACTTGCTGGGCATGTCGGCAGCCCTAAACCCCAAACCTCAAACCCTAAACCCTAAACCCTAAACCCTAAACCCTAAACCCTAAACCCTGAACCCTGAACCCTGAACCCTGAACCCTGAACCCTGAACCCTGAACCCTGAACCCTGAACCCTGAACCCTGAACCCTGAACCCTGAACCCTAACCCTGAACCCTAAATCCTATAAACTCTAAACCCAGCGTCCCTGCCCTCAGACCGATCACAATGGCTGCATCTCGAAGTTGGAGCTGATTGCGGCCGTCCAGAGAGATGCAAGAGCCCTGCACTCAGACAGCGCGGTTTAGGGTTTAGGGTTTAGGGTTTAGGGTTTAGGGTCTAGGGTTTAGGGTTTAGGGTTTAGGGTTAGGGTCTAGGGTTTGGGGTTTAGGGTTTAGGGTTTCGGGTTTAGGGTTTAAGCCCAGCTTGTTTTGAAGAATCTGAGGGTAGATTCATGGGGCCCTTAGTATGAGTCTTTAAAGAGGTTCTGATGTATGGGCCCTGGGTATATAAGGGTCATACAAGGGATGCCCTTTTAAGGGCCCATTCAGGGGCCATGTAACTACCCTGCTAAGAACGAGCCATGCTGATGGGACGCTCAAAACGGAGTCGCGCTCATTGTCTTCGGGACGAAAAGTGGGGGTCAAGGCGCTTGCTAGCAGAAGAGTGTGGGATGACACCCCAGTGAGGCCCAAAGGGCAGCCCCCGTCTGTTGCACGATGTTTAGGGTTTAGGGTTTAGGGTTTAGGGTTTAGGGTCACGGTTCTCAAAACCGTTCTTTCGTTCTTCATGTTTGACATCTTGGGCTATATTGCCTTTTAGGGGTTTAGGGTTTCTCTCTCCTTTTCTTTGAGCGGTTTAGGGTTTAGGGTTTAGACTCAAGCCTTCGGCTGGGAGTTGGCTTCTTCCTCCTAGGAACCTGGGATCCCCCAAACCCTTAACCCTAAGCTCTAAACCCTTCAACCCAAAACCCTAAGCCATAATCCCTAAACCCCGAAAGCCTAAACCCCTAAAACCCTAAAACCCTAAATCCCCCAACCCTAAACCCTAAACCCTAAACCCTAAACCCTAAACCCTAAACCCTAAACCCAAAACCCCAAAACCCTCAGTGGCCTCCCAGGTCGCGGCTTTTGTACTCCGAGACCAGGACAGCGAACGCAGCGCCCATAGCCCACGGTGGGTTGAGGGTTTAGGGTTTAGGGTTTAGGGTTTAGGGGTGTCTGACCCTTCAACCTCCTAGATGTAAGCGAGGCATAAACCCCAAACTGGTAGGGAAATTGGAGCGGCAGGGACTCCCTCCCCTAATTTCTTCTTTGAATGGCGGCCGTTGTTGCCGAAGCAGTTTCTTGAAGCCTTCTGTGAAGATCCAGTCATCTCTCGTTCCCCTCTACACACCTGCCCGGCACCTCCCCAAGATCGAAGCGACGAAGAGACCTTCGATGCAGTGGACGCAATCTTTGATCAGATTGCTGCGGGGAAGCACGCTTCTCAGACAAGGGTGAAGGTGATGTGCGTAGCGGCGTAGTGCTCAAGATCTCTATGCCCTTGAACCCTAAGGTGTGTCCACGGAAGGTTCAAGAATGAAACCCCTAAAACCACAACCCTAGGCCTAAACCCTAAACCCTCAACCCGAGCTGCAGGCAGCGCATCAAGTATGCAGATGTGGCGGCGCACTTTCAGAAGGCCGGCGCCCTCACATTCATGGGGTTTAGGGTTTAGGGTTTAGGGTTTAGGGTTTAGGGTTTAGGGTTTAGGGTTTAGGGTTTAGGGTCTAATTCCAAAATAGTAAGGAACCCAATAAGGTACACCCCCCCCATTTTTCGGAAACCCCCGTATGGATTTTGAAAAGTGAAGACCCCAGAGCTGATGTTGGGTTTAGGGGTTTAGGGTTTAGGGTTTAGGGTTTAAGGTTTAGTGGGTTTAGGGTTTAGGGTTTGGTTTAGGCGGTTGTAAATCGACAGGCCAGCACGAACAAGATGGACAACACGGATGAGTTGCCAGCTGCCTAGACGGTGTGTGCGCGCTTGCCTGTCCAACGCCTAGGTTCGGTGGGCGTTCAGCGGCCGGTCTTCTAGAAAGTTTGTGAATTAGACCCTCAACCCTCAACCCTCAACCCTCAACCCTCAACCCTCAACCCTCAACCCTCAACCCTCAACCCTCAACCCTCAACCCTAAGCCCTAAACCCTTAACCCTAAACCCTAAACCCTATACGCCCTACACCCTAAACACTGGAAAGCCTCGGCCGAAATTCTCCCATTCGAACACAGCCCTCAGCCTTTTTGCCACTGCCCCAGGCGCAAGCTGTATGACCTCATCGACGCAGACAAGAGTCTTGACTGCTTTGGTGGCAGATGAGAACTTTAACTCTTAGACACAGGATTAGCAGCGCCTTCTACTCATCCGGACCCTGGACCCGACACTCTAAAAACCCTAAACCCTAAACTCCCAACCTTAAGCCCCTAGAACCCTAGAACCCTAGAACCCTGGAACCCTGGAACCCTGGAACCCTAAACCCTAAACCCTAAACCCTAAACCCTAAACCCTAAACCCCTAAACCCCTAAACCCCTAGAACCCTATCCCTAAACCCTAGAACCCTCCTCGAACCCGAGCAGTTTGAGGAGTGGGTCCATCTCAAAGCTGGAGATCATTGCCGCAGTGCAGGCCATGGGGTTGAGAGCTGAATTTCATGAGGGCTTGGGGTGTAGGGTTTAGGGTTTAGGATTTAGGGTTTAGGGTAAAGGAGCCTCCTCCGAAAAAATATGAAAGATAGAAGAGAAGGGATCTTCAGGCTCTTCTCCACTTGTGGGGGTCATGAAAGCCCCAGCAAGGTTTACGTGAGTCAGGGACCCCTCATATGTAAGCCCCCAAATCGTAGGAATCCCCTCAGCATAAGGACCCCAAGAAGGTGCCCCTAATTTCGGAAGCCCCGAAGCCTAAACCGCAAACCCTAAACCCTAAACCCTAAACCCTAAACCCTAAACCCTAAACCCTAAACCCTAAACCCTAAACCCTAAACCCTAAACCCTAAGCCCTAAACCCTAAACCCTAAACCCCAAACCTTAAACCCTAAACCCTAAACCCTAAACCCTAAACCCTAAACCCTAAACCCCACAGGCCAACAAGGAGGTGGCCAACTACCTTCTTCCAAACCTGGAGGGCGCCGACCACGTCATGGAGTCCGAGGCCAACTCCCCAGCTGTTCTAGGAGGCCCCCTTGCGAAGTCGAGGAACCGAAGCATAATTCAAGATATGCATATGCTTATGTATGTATGCATGTATGAAAAATTACATCTGTATGCATATATATATATACTAAACATAACAGCACAATATTCCTGTATTTTTCTAGATATAGCACCTGACAGACATGTGACCAACTAAGGCCATCTTCGACGCCATCAACAGCCTCTTCCAGGCCAGCAGTGGCACCCCCCTTCATCTTCTCGAATTCGTGGGCGGGGTGGTACCTCCTGAATACCTGGGCCCGTTGTTTCATAGCTTCCTGGCAACCCCAGAAAGGTCATCCCAAACTCCAAACCTGACACCCTGAACTCGAAACCCGAAACCCGAAACCCGAAACCCGAAACCCTAAACCCTAAACCCTAAACCCTAAGAACCGACCCTCGTCCAGACCATCGCCGGCGGCAAGCGGCGGATTGACTTTGCCGACTTCAAGGCCTACTTCAAGAAGGCCCATGGTGCACGCCGAAATTGATTTGGGGTTTAGGGTTTAGGGTTTGGGATTTAGGATTTGGGGTTTATCTAGGGTTAGGGTTCAGGGGGGTTTAGAGGGGTTTAGGGTTTCTGGTTTAGGGTTTAGGGGCCAGGAAACCGCGAGAAGTGTCAAACCACCTCAGGTCACCTCAGTGTCGGCGGGCCCTGTGTCGATCCACCGGGGGAGCATGCGCGTCTTCGTCATCGGACCAGGCTGTCCACACTCGGAAGAAGCATTTGAACAATGCCTTGATTCTTTTCTTATTCTATATCATAAGCTGCTAGTACAATGAGCGCGTTCCTGCTTCTGAGGGCTGCGCAAAACAACAAAAACCCTACTGCTTGTGAGAGAGAGTACAAGGCCGCGTTTGTGGCTCTTTGAGTTCAAGTTAGTTGCCCGCTATGTGGCAAGCTATGGCAAGTTTGCATGGCGACCGTGACTTGCAACGTGGTTGTTTCACTTGGCTCAGTGGTTGATGGTTAGCAGGTGGCAGTGGCCGCGCTCATCCCAAGAAAGCCTCGGGTCAAGTTGGATGTCAATGTTCAAAAGCCCATGTTCAAAAATGGAGGGGTGCAGTACCCCTCGAAAGTGATAACTGAGAGGCTTCGGACAGAAGCTCAACCCGCGCCAGTCGGGCATGATCACGAATGCTGGCTACCAGGCGCTTGCCATGCTCCAGAACTAGCAGCCCACGGTCCTCCTGGTAGCTCGAAGATCCCAAGCCCACTCCCTAAACCCTAAACTAAATCCTATCCCTAAACCCTAAACCCTAAACCCAAAACCGCGCCAGTTGACGTCTTGGTGTTGTGTTTTGCATGGAAGATCCGTCGGAGGTGTACTTCTTTCACGGCATCCCGAACCCAGAGACGCCGAACTTCCCGGTTCAGCAGTACATGGAGTACATCAAGGAGGGCCGGTAAATAGGTTTAGGGTTTAGGGTCTTCCCTACGTTTACATTTAAATGCCCTCTGCAGAGTTCAATCGCGGGTGGGCGCTTGGGGGCGAACTGTAGGATTGTCCCATGATGAGCAAAACGATGCTTCCGACTTTGCTCCTTACCCCCGAAACCCTCAAAATCTTAACCCTAAACCCTAAACCCTATATAAACCAGGTGTGAACCCTGTGTAAATCCTAAACCAACCTACATAAACCCTCAATCCGAAATCGCGTGAAGGAAGAACTGGATGCCTTCCAGCCTGACGTGGTCTGCGCAGCATCCAAGGGAGGCCTGGGAGTGTCATGAGTGGCGGCGGCTTTGGTGGCCTGGATGGACTCGAAATTCCATGAACAAAAGCATAGCGGTGAGCCCTGAACCCTAGTCCTGAAAACGTGACACCCCAAAACGCTGCAGTACAACTCTAAATCTCCTCACCTCAAAGCCTAGGCTCAGGTTGCAGGGATCCTACGTTTGCCCCGGACATCGCGCTTTCAGCTTGACAGGCGTCTACCTCATCGGCTTGTGGCAGGCGCTGGGTTTCCGCAGATCTGAGAGCCCCCTGATCAGGTTGGGATGTCCCCCCTCATACTCGCTGATACTCGCTGTCCTTTATAGGGATTCTAGTACCCCCCAATACCCCCTATTCTAGTCCCTATTAAGGACTGTTAGTATAAGGGGGAACATCCTAAGGTCCAGGGTGCTCTGAACCCATGTGCTGCCTGCACCCTCTTCCTGGCAGGCTGGTTTGTGGCGCGGCCCGAGTCTCCTCATCAACGCCCACCCTTCGTGCAAGGAGCTGCCGCAGGACGGACCTTATAGTTTTTTTTTAAATGCTCCGTCTGCAACCGTAGGGTTCAGGGTTTAGAGTTCAGGGCTTAGAGTTTAGGGGTCACGGATGTTGAGCCTGAGCTGCTTGCCAGCGGCTCGTCCCGCCATACTTTTGGCCCAGGGCGTGCCGATCGTTCTCGCGCAGGGAGGAAACGATGAGGCGCGACTGCAAGCTAGATTTGGCTTAGGGTTTAGGGTTTAGGGTTTAGGGTTTAGGGTTTAGGGTTTAGGGTTTAGGGTTTAGAGTTCAGGGCTGGCAATGTCCCGGAGCATGCCACCCAGGTTGTGAACTCTGCTGCACCTTTGGAGGTATACCCGACTGCGCGAGCTGATCTCGAGCGACTGATCTCCACGGGCACAGACAACAAGTGTTTCCTGTGGTGGCCTCGGGGGATAGATCTGATGCTCTGATGCCCTTGGTCTAAGCTCAGAACCCTAAACCCTAAACCCCAAACACTAAACCCTAAACCCTAAACCCTAAACCTTGTTACCTCAGTCCATCGACTCGCAGCTGATGGCGTGTGGAGGTACTACGCTGGAAACAGCGGGCTTATGGCATCGGGGCAGCGTACCCGCATAGGTGACCGCCACAACATGGAGCTCGGGGGCCAAGTTCTGCCCTAAACCCTAAACCCTAAACCCTAAACCCTAAACCCTAAACCCTAAACCCTAAACCCTAAACCCTAAACGCTAAACCCTAAACCCTAAACCCTAAACCCTAAACCCTAAACCCTAAATCCCTAATCCCTATCCCTAAACCCTAAACCCTAAGCCCTGAACCCTGAACCCTGAACCCTGAACCCTAAGCCCTAAGCCCTAAGCCCTAAACCCTAAACCCTAAACCCTAAACCCTAAACCCTAAACCCTAAACCCTAAGCCCTTTCTTTACCCAAGTGCGCGAGGTCCCTGCTCTTTCGAGACTGCCTGCCTCGCCTGATCGACGCCACCCTGTGCGCTGACGGCCCGGAGGCTTCGCACCCCAGGCTTCCTTACTAGGGTTTAGGGTTTAGGGTTTAGGGTTTATGTAGGGGCGGGTAGAGCATATTCGAAAGTCAAAGCGCCGGGAATTGGAAGAACTGAAGCTCTTGCTCTGCAGGTCCGACGGCTTCAGATGATCATGAACATCTCTAAGCACAAACCCTACACCGCCAAAAACAAGCCCTAAACCCCAAACGCTAAACCCCAAGCCCTAAACCCCACGCCGCAAACCCTAAATCCCAAAACCTGAAGCTGAAGGGTGAATGGTGCGACCACTCCATGGTTACCAAGCCGACTCATAGATACGGATGGTCCCTTGCCTTCGTTTACGGTAAATGAGGCCCCTCATAGGACCTTCGGGGTTCTTTGGGGGTTATTTAGGGGTTAGCTAGGTATACATAGGGGGTTATATAGGGGAATGAGATTAAGGGTCCCTTTTGGGGGTCCCTCCTTATACCCTTTAAGTTCCGAAGTATGGGGCCTTGGGGTGTAGAGGGTATGCAAGGGGCATCTAAGGGCACATACTAGGGACTATGTAACTACCCTAAGGTAAGCGTATGGTACCAGGTTTAGGGTTAGGTTTAGGGTTTAGGGCATAAGGTTTAGGATATAGGGTTCTTAAGGGCGTATGGCTCAAATAATGGTGGTAAGAAGATTCAGAAGGATATCATGATTACTAGTGGCAAGAATACTCACAACAACACTAGTAGCAACAAGCAACAACACAACAATCCAAACACCACAATTGTAAGCGCAATGGACTAAACCCTAAGCCCTAAGCCCTAAGCCCTAAGCCCTAAGCCCTAAACCCTGAACCCTGAACCCTAAACCCGAAACCCGAAACCCGAAACCCTAAACCCTAAACCCTAAACACGAAACCCTAAGCTGCCTCGAAGCCTTGAAGAGGCCCACATGATTCGCTCCTGGCGGGAGCGTCTTTCAGAACAGCGCAGGGAAGCGGAGCAGTGGCTAGGCCCGGAGCTCGGGCAAAAGGGGGCTGGGGGTTCAAGGATGAGGGAGTTTAGGGTTTAGGGCCAGGGTTTAGGGTTCAAGGTTTAGGGTTTAGGATTCAGGGTTTCGGTTTTCGGGGAGACGGTGCAGAAGCGTTCTGGTCTCCTTTGGGGGGTTTAGGAATTTCCGGCATTCAAGGCCGAACCCCGAACTTCACCTTACCAAGTCCGCATGGACATGTGGGAGCAGCCCTCCTTTTCTGAACCCTAAACCCTAAACCCTAAACCCTAAACCCTAAACCCTAAGCCCTAAACCCTAAACCACTTCCTTTACCACCTGGCAGGACACAGCCCGGAGCTCCTGCGCAAGCGCTGGGTGGGACTCCCCAGGTTTCAACTCCACGCACATGAACGCATATGGGGGTTCTGAAATTAGGGTTTAGGGTTTAGGGTTTAGGGTTTAGGGTCTAGGGTTTAGGGTTTAGGCGTCCTAGTTGTAAGGGAAGCCTACTACTTGGGGCTCGATTATAGGGGCCCCCTGTTTTCATAAACCCCCCATCTATAAAAATACTCATCGATGCATATATACATATATACACATGTGTATACACTTATGTATTTCTACATGTATGTGCATTTGTATATTTGTACACATATACATCTACACACTTATACATACGTATATACATTGATGACTTGAGATCCCGTTTACATGACATGAACATTAATCATCATTGCGGGGGTTGGACTCAAAGTCGGTGCCTTGACTTCGCGCGAATGCGATGCTGGCACCGCTGCGAATCTCTGGGGTTATAGACTTACAGCGATCCCTCGGGGGCATGTGAACTTGATTCGTCCCACTCCACCCGTCCCCATGCCTTCCTTAGCAGATATGGGGTTTCCGAAACGAGGTCTACATAAACCCTAAACCCTAAACCCTAAACCCTAAACCCTAAACCCTAAACCCCCATATGAACAACCTTCGGCCCGGTCCTGCAACTCAGACATCGAGGCAACTCGTGGCATGGACGAGGAGAAACTCATAGAGGCCGGCAGGCTACTAGTAGTGGCCTGCAAAGGCCAGTGCTCATTGATCTCTCTAATTACTATGACTTGAGTGAATGTTGCCAAGAATATTTTTGTTTTCAGTATCAGTACCATGGTTAATGTTCCTAGCTTCACTATTCCTAGTACGTTGATGAGTATCAGTACTATTCCTACGGCTTTCTTGGGCAGGTACTCCCTGGCACCGAGGAGTTTGCTCACGTCATGGCTTTGTTCCGGGCCGCTCCGAAGGACACCTTGTGAGCCGCGCGTGTTAGCCGCATCGGGGACTGTGGGACACTTGGGGGTTCATGGGTACTTCTGGGTAGGGTTAGAAAGTACCCTAAATACGGTTGTCCTACTCAAACCCCTACTTGTAGGTACCCGTGAACCTCCAACTACTCCTAAGCCCGGGAGGGGGGGGGGGAGGTGGTCATTGTTCCCCATATCCAGTATCTCTGTACCCAATACCCGGTTGCAGCCAAAATGTAGATGTTTGGTTTCGCGGAATCAAAAGCAATGCCAGCTTCGAGGTAGCTTGAGCAGTGGCTTGAAAGTAGCATTACAGCGAGTCACGGCTGGCAGTGGCTCTGGCCTTCTTCAGGGTTTTGGGGGTTCTTTAGGGTTTAGGCTTTCAGGGGTTTAGGCTTTCAGGGTAAAGACTTGCAGGAGCCGCCCATTTACTCCGTGACGCCGCAGGCGCGCCCCGTTCCTCCAGGAAGTGGCAGTAGCCCTCTTGACGCCCTCAAGGGAGACGCCGGAGTTTGTGGCACGGTTTAGGGTTCAGGGTTCAGGGTTCAGGGTTTAGGGTTTAGGGTTTAGGGTTTAGGGTTATCTGCACGCCTTGATTTTCTCCTGGAGGTCTCCCAGCCCTGCATCCCACACTGGGCCCCCAATCCTGAACCTCTAGACGCCCCGCATGCGACCTTTGAAATCAAGTTGTTGTGGTACAGTGGTATATGTGTGAACAAAGAATGTACATATATGTATGTATATGTACATGTACATGTACATGTACATGTATATGTATATGTATATGTATATGTATATGCATATGCATATGCATATGCATATGTATATGTATATGTATATGCATATGCATATGTATATGTATATGTATATGTATATGTATATGTGTGTGTGTGTGTTTAATGTGTATACATACGCACCTATCCATATGTACATTTGTTACGAGAGCTTCCTCCTCCTCAACGTGGCTTTCGGTTACTCCGCGTCGCTGATCCGTCTGGGTGTCTTACACCGGGGGGGGGGGGGGGGGGGGGGGGGGGGGGGACCTCAGTTTTGGAGCAGTTTGTGGGGCCAATCCCTGTCGAATTCTGGGCAAAGGCTGATGCTCATGATGCTGGGGGGTGCACACAGGTGCGACTGGTCCTGCAAAGAGGGACTTGTCCTGAAAAGAGGGGTCCAAAGGCTTTTAACCAACTCCCAAGAATCGACGTACCGCGCCAAAGAGGCATACAAACCTAGAGGCTGCTCTTTCTGACTTTGTTTCCCATCCTCCGGCTCCGCCCAATGGAGTTGAGAGACTTCAGACCTCAGGACTCAACCAGAGTCGTTCTGTTTGGTGATGCTTCATTCGTGGAAGCCGGAGCCGACACTTAGTGTGTGCCAGCCGTGCACATGTCTGGTGGAATATGTATGCATATATATATATACACACATATATATATATACAAATACATATATACGTATATACATATTCGTAGTATGTTATATATATATATATGTATCTAATGGAGATCTGCGTGTGTGAAGGCAACTTGGGAACAGGTGTCGCGGGCTCAGCACCTAAAGGGCTTAAGTTTGGGAGCTGCTTCCCAGGGTGGAGGGACTTGAAATTTGCGCCCCTGTTCTTGAGATGCGCGTACTCTAGACCCCCTGTGTATATCTGGCTGGTTCTTTCTTAGGGAATGAGGGAATGAGGTACCCTGTATCATCCCTAAAAGGGGTATATATAGGGCCCTACTTCTCTCATTCCTTACCAACAACCAGGGGGATGAACCGCAACAACGTCTGTGTTATGTAAATGTCATGGTCGTTTGCCAGACGGGAAATGCCGAGCTTTCACTGTGCGGCACTTCGAGATCCGAATGCGGCTCCATCGTCGTAGATCATGATGCGCATGCTCGGGCTCTATGTGAGGGAGGAGATTTCAGGCAGTGTTTCCGGACTGTTGCCTGTTTCGTTGGTCTGTAGTGGAGGATCAGGGGGGTTTGTCTTTGACCTGGGTGTGGGGGCTTTTCCACCCTTCTGGCCTACTTGGGCTTTCGCATGACAGTCATGAGGGTCTCCTTCCAATGGACATACCCGAGCATCTTCAGGATGCGCGACCCATAAAAAGCCACGGTTTAGGGTTTAGTTTAGGGTTTAGGGTTTAGGGTTTAGGGTTTAGGGTTTAGGGTTTAGGGTTTAGGGTTTAGGGTTTAGGGTTTAGGGTTTAGGGTTTAGGGTTTAGGGTTTAGGGTTTAGGGTTTAGGGTTTATTCGCCCAGGCACGTTCGTGCGATTCATCGCGTAGAGAATGGCCCTCAGCTGGATGGATGCACGAAGCCGCCACCCGGACGCATTAATCTGAGGTTCCTTCGCCCTTTGGCCCTGCCAGGTGCGAAACCCCCTGGTTCTCAGTAGGGAATGAGGGAATTAGGGCCCTTTTTGCGTAAAGGCATTGTGCAGGGTACCTCATTCCCTCATTCCCTACTAAGAACCGGCCAGTAACAGGATGTTGGCCTAGGAGTACCGACCATTCTCATCCCCATCATCGCCAGTCTTACTACCTTGGTTTGTTGTGCCATGACGCCTCCCTGTTTCTTTAGATGGTGCCTCTTTCACGTTTCTTTAGAAAAGCTTGGTTCTTCTGACCAGCTGGTATAGCCATCTATTACTTCTGTATTCCCGTGTGCGGAATTTTGTTGGAGGCTTTTCCTACGGTTGCAACACCCTTCCGGCGACTTTTTGCAAACGCAAGATAGGGTCGAGGATTTACTGTAGGGCTCATTATCCTAATGCAAGCGAACTAGTAGTAGTAATGATGGTAGCAGTCAGAGTAGGCATACTTAGGGAAGAATTGTACGAAGAGTAGCAGTGGCTACAACAACTGGTAGCAGAAGTATTGACAAGAGTCGTGAGACGCGTGCTACTGATATAGCAAATGATGTAGCAATCGTATCAATGTAGTGGTATTAGCAACCGAAGCAGCCATAGCAACGCTGACCATGACATCTCGAACATCCTTGATGAGGTACTTCGAATCCCTCCGACGAAACTTAGAGGATCAGGTCTGGAGCTCAGGTTACTTTGTTTGGCTGGTAGGGAATGAGGGAATGAGGTACCCTATAAAATCCCTTAAAGGGCATATGTGGGGCCCTAATTCCCTCTTTCCCTACTAAGAATCAGGGGGACTTTGTTCTGTAGCTTCTGCCATGACACAAGTGTGACAAGGTAACTACATCCCCCGTAAACCCTAACCCTAAACCCTTAATCCTAAACCCTAAACCCTAAACCACCCCCGCCACCCACCCCCCCCCCCCCCCCCATGACCCAGACACCCTGCGTCTTTCCCAGGGGGTGGAGTTCGAGCCTGGAACCCACACGCCGCCCGGCAGTTTTCTAGATGAAGCAGGGTTTATGTTACTGTTCTTCGTGAGTGTATATAAGCTTCCATTTTAGTATGGGTGAGTGTATATAATTGGTGTCCTTTGGGAGATACAAGGAACACAAACCCTACTTCAGATGGCTTTCAGCGGAATGCAAGGTTCCGGTTCCTGAAGGTTTGGGTTCATGGGTTCTGAACAGTAGGGTGGTTAGGGTTCAGGGTTCAGGGTTCAGGGTTCAGGGTTCAGGGTTCAGGGTTCAGGGTTTAGGGTTTAGGGTTTAGGGTTTAGGGTTTAGGGTTTGGAATGAGAAATCCCATCCTTCCCCTGCAGAAAGCTCTGCTACGGATTGATTGCAGGGGCTGAAACTTCGACGCCGGCTGGCCTTTTAGACCCTGAAGCCACAAAGGTCTCAAGACAAAGAAGGTATATCCTGAACGTCAGGAGGCACAGTGCCTCCATGTCGCACAGCCCCCCTGAACAGGTGACGCCTGAACCTCGAATCCGACAACAAATCGCGTTTCTCATTTAGCCTTGAGCCCCTGAACCACAAAGCCAAACCTCCCTCTCCTGTAGGCCTTGAGCTCTACACTCTGAAGCCTGAACCCTTAGACCCAGAAGCCCTTTCAAAAGAACGAGGTGCTGGGCTTTCCACGGGGCGCGAAGCGACGCCATCGAGTGAGAGCCTGGGTTCAGCCTTGCCACGGAAGGTAGTCGTAAGTGCCCTCGTCGTCGCCGTCGTCGTCGTCGTCGCCGCCACCACCGTCGTAGTAGCAGTAGCAGTCGCAGTCGCAGTAGCAGTCGCAGTTGCAGTAGCAGTAGCAGTCGCAGTAGCAGCCCTAAACCCTAAACCCTAAACCCTACTCGTAAACCCTAAACCCTGAACCCTAAACCCTAATCCCTAACCCTGAACCCTAATCCCTAAACCCTAAACCCTAAGCCCTAAAACCTAAACCCTAAACCCTAAACCTGAATCCTGAGGTCCATCGTCAGCAATACGGTGGCCGGCTTCCAGCCCTTGGCATCAGGCGGGGCTTACGGCCCAAGCGGGTTCCCCAAAGTAGGGTTTATTTTGGGGTTTAGGGTTTCGGGTTTAGGGTTTAGGGTTTAGAGTTTAGGTACCTTTGTGGTGTTTACTTTCATCAGATGCCACATGCTTAAGGTACTGCAGGGGACAATCATCTGGGAGTTTGCCGCTTGTCCACCTTGCTCCCAAGTCCACATCATGGCCCCCACCCCCCTGGCCGAAGGCATGGACTCAGCAAGTCATGAAACCCAAGACCCAACTCAACAGCCGCAACCAGTGGCAAGGCACGCGTGGTGCGAACGTTTGGGGCTCTGGCACCTACTTTGCACGTGACGCGAAGTGATCCGGCCCTTGTCTCTTGAACACCACGCAGCACCACATCACCACGCCGTACACCCTAGTCTAAGCTCCGAAGATCTCGATAGGTACGTGGCAGATGGCGGCTTCTGCGGAAAGCCGGCTGCAGATGGAACCCGGCAGATGTTGGTGCCGGGGCCCTTAGTTTTGTCATTCGGGAAGCTCGCTGCCTGCGATTTTTGTGGGGACAAGCTCACGCGACGCTGAACAAAGGTGCCTCCTGATGACGGGCGTCCCATGCCTCGGTGATCCCGACCACAAGGGCGCTGTTGACTCAGAGGGCTGAAGCAGGGAGGGTGGGCGGAATAATTAATGAAGGCAAGAAGAAGCAGAAGAAGGAGAACAATCAGAAGAAGCGGCGTAGGAATTCCAAGAAGAGGAACAGCGAGAGGAAGAAACCATTGCTGCTCAAGGCCCTGAATGAGCGCTCAAGCCCCAAACGAGCAACACGCAGGGCCACCGCGCCGCGATAAATCTTAACTCAAATGAGAGAATGGTTACGTTGGTGTCGGACCAGCTGATCAGAATAGCTTGGGGAGGCTAGGCCAACCGACAGAGACAGACGCAAGAGATGGAGGGCCGAGCATGCCATCATTCCGTCTGCTAGCGGCTAGCGAGTGTGCCGGGGAGGGCACAAACAAGCCAAGAGCATCTGACCCGGATGAGCGCGCCTTTGAACTTCTGACAACTTCCAGCAGCGCGGCCACGTGGGTCAGCAGATTCCGGCCAAATCCACTTCAACAGAAGAGGCTACAGCATGAGAGTAGTTGATACGGAGAGATGAGTGGAGCATCCGGAGGTTCTTCAGGGGATTTTTGAGCGGGCAGAGTCCAACTCTCTCAAGGTCTTGCCCTTCCGCAATAAGCCTCATCGCTACAACTCCTCCGTGGACAGCCTCTCCAGCCGCATGCCCAGGATGCAACGTTTTGTGGTTCTTATTGGCCTAAACCCTAGACCCTAAACCCTAAACCCTAAACCCTAAACCCTAAACCCTAAACCCTAAACCCTAAACCCTAAGCCCTAAACCCTAAACCCTTATTGGCATGGAAGAGCGGTTTTCGGAGGCCCCGAAATCTTCATCGTCCAGCATCCAGGCAGTGGCTCTGTGACTCTATGGCTTTCCACAAGTTGGGGTTTCCGAAATTACGGGGGCACCTTACCGGGCTCCTGATTATAAGGGGATCCTGCTACTTGAAGGTCTATTATCAGGGCCCCTTATCTTCGTAAGCCCCCTAAGTGTCGTGAGGGGGAGTGCTGCTCCTGGCAGGCGGAGCTCTACCAGCGTACCTCATCACTTTTGCTTGATCCCTTGATCGAGTGCTGGCCAGCGGAAACCATGCAGAAAGCGTCGCGCGCCGAGCCCTTGCGTGCCGCGCCCTTGTGGTGCTTTTTGTGCGACCCTCTGACTGATTGCACTGCTTGCTCCGAGGTGCATCTTCCGCATACAGATGCTGTCACGCAAGCCATGAGCTGCGCAAAATGTATAGAACGCCAGCTTGTAGCTTTCGAGATGCATTCGCGGCCGGAATTCATTGCAAGGCTTTGGGGAGGACGCACTTGCTGAGCTAATAGAATTTTGACCCAGCAGCGATCCTCAGATTTTCCCCTTGTAGCTCCGGAGCCAAATGCTGAGAGGGAGCGATTTCGTGCTCCCGATGCTTAGCAACAGCACTTGGCCTACTGTGGGTTCCTCCGTGAAACTGCCACGAGTGCAGACACTCTCTTCAGAGAAGCGGGGGAGGTAGGTGCGCGTCTGCCAAGTTTTAGAAATGCACCAAAGGTGCTCACATATCTTCCGATGCGCAAAAATCTGCTCATGGTGAGGCCTTTGCTTGTCGCTCGCCCCTAAAGCCCCAAAGCCCCAGAAAGCTGCCTTTGCTTCGTGCAGGTGCTGAACAGCTCGCTCGCCCTGTGCACGTCACCGGAACCCCAGCTGGCTTCCCCGGCTCAAGTTCGGAAGCTGTCCATGCGTTGCGATACCTTCGGTTCCTGGGGTTCGTCAAGCTTCTCCGCTCCGAATGTCTTTCGCATAGTGGTGGCAGGATGATGCGGGTACATGCTTGTGACAGGTGTCTTCGTGGTCTGCCACGCACGTCTCTTTGGTGCAGGGAGAGGCCCGGCTTCTCGTGTCGGCAGCGTCGGCACGGGGGCTTGAGAGGGGCGGTGTCTACCCAGAGGCTCCAATACCCCTTAATTAAGGAATATTCCTTAATTAAGCCATATAAGGAAGTCTCTTACACTTTAAGGAATATTCCTTAAGCCGAATAAGGAAGTCTCTTACACTTTCCGGAATATTCCTTAATTAAGGGGTGTTTTTAGTCTCTGGGTACCAGGTGCCACTGCCGCAATATGGCTACCAGGCCGGTTGCCAGGTGTTGACGGGCAGCAGGGATTGCACGAAAGGTCCAAGCAAGCTTCACTTGTAGATCTTGGCACCCCGAACACCTGAGTCCCCAAACCCCAAACCCTAAAACCCTAGAACCCTAAAACCCTGAAACCCTGAAACCCTGAAACCCTAAAACCCTAAAGCCCTAGAACCCCAAAAACCCCAAACCCAGCACACCGCTTCCGAGCAAAGCTCTTGGCAGGACTTTCTGAAGCGCATGACGGGCGGGGCAGGCCCTGCTGCCCCCATCCTGGCCCAGACCTCGGCATCTTTGGGAGGTTAGGGTGTAGGGTTTAGGGTTTAGGGATCAGGGGTTCAGCGTCGCAGCAGAATAGGAGCTATGATATGAGGGTAGCGCTGCTACATACCTGAGTCAGCTCTGGCACTCCGATTCGCGGTGGTTCGCGCCTTCTGCCTCCAAGTCGGTTTTGGAGTGCTCGGGGTTCTCGCTTGTCGTACCAAGAGTTGCAGAGTAGGCGTACTCCTTAAGCTGAACCCCACACGCTACACGTTAAGCCCTAACCTTAAACCCTAAAACCCTAAAACACTGAAACCCTGAAAGCCTAAAACCCTAAACCCCTACAACCCTAAGACCCCAAGACCCTAAAACCCTAAAGCCCTAAAGCCCTAAAGCCCTAAAGCCCTAAAACCCTAAAACCCTAAAACCCGAAACCTAAATCCTAATCCCTAAACCCTGAATCTCAACCCTCAATCCTAAGACCCTAAAGCCCCAAAACCCTCAACCCTCAACCCTCAACCCTCAACCCTAAACCCTAAACCCTAAAACCCTAAAACCCTAAAACCCTAAACCCTAAACCCTAAACCCTAAACCCTAAACCCTAAACCCTAAACCCTAAACCCTAAAACCCTAAAACCCCTAAACCCTAAACCCGAAAACCCTCAAAGCCCTCAAAGCCCTCAAAGCCCTGAAAGCCCTGAAGGAAGCGCCTGTGCAAGTCTCGGTGCTGCCCCTGGTTGCCCTGCAGGCCGTCCTGGGTTTTAAGGGGTTTCAAGGGGTTTTAAGGGGTTTTAAGGGTCTTTAACGGGGTTTCAAGGGGTTTTGAGGGGTTTTAAGGGGTTCTAAGGGGTCTTACGGGGTTTTAGGGGGTTTTCGGGGTTTTGAGGGTTTTGTTATGGGTTTGGGTTCTAGAGTCTAGGGTTTCATGTGGGGCTATGGTGCAGATTTCCGAGTTTAGGTCCTTGATGTAGGTGTGATCTTTGGGGGCATTGTGAAGCTAGCGGCGGCTTCAGCGGAGCGAAAGAGAGGGGACCTGCTGCAGCACCAACGAAACCAAGGACGGAGGAGCAAGTGTGGTCAAGACGAACGACGAATCCCCCCCAAACCCTAAACTGCCCCCGCGGATAGGTTTGATCTTCAGCATAAGCCCTCCTCATTCTGGGGTGGGGGATGGCGCACCTCTGCTTTGGAGAGGCAGTGGCTCCCAGCCAGCTTGTGCTGAAGTATGACCGGGAGCAGACACTCGATGCTTCTGGCACAACTTTGCGTTGTTGAGTTTTTGCGGTATCCGTGGGGTGCCGCTCTTCGGAGGTCACAAACCATGTTTGCCAACCCTGCAGCTCCTATATACACCCTTTAAGGGATCATGTAGGGTACCTCATTCCCTCATTCCCCTACTACCCAACAGTAAAGCTAGTGCTGTCACGTTCTTGAAATCTGCCGGACTGGCTGAGGCTGGGTGTGGAAACGCACAGCTTGTCTCATCCCCTGACGAGGACAGAGGATGAGGCAGGAGGGGCTGTGGTAAGACGGAGGGCCAGTGAGAGCTGTAGCCCTCAGAACAAACCCACAACCCTAAACACCGTACCCAACACCAATGAGTTGTGCAGGTGTCGGTGGAGGTTTCCTTCGACTTCGCAGCAACATTCGAGGCTGAGCCGGGGAGGGTGGGACGACTCACAGCACCGTCCGACTTTTTAGGGTCCGATTGTTAGTCTAAGTTTCACAGCTGAAAAGGACTGCTGCAATTCATGCCTTGGTCTTGACTGTTGGAAGATGCTATAAGTACCGGAGCAGATCGAGTTCTCACTTCCTGAATGCGCAGAGTGAATGCGCAGGAGACCCTGTGGAACAGCATGCAGATCGAGAATCTGGTGGCGTGTAGGCTTGCCTTGAGTTCGGTGCAAGTGCAGCCACCATCTGCTATCAATGTTTTTGGGCTTTCATTGCCTTGGTCTGGGGGATTCATGCAGCGGGGTGATGTTGTGGAATGGCGCCTTCAGAGTTTGCGCGACAAAAGCGAGGGAGGGTGCTTCGGTTGGGCTGCTTCCGCCTGAGGTTATCACTGATGCCTTTGCCGTCGCCTCAGCACCGTGATCTCACCCAAACAGTGCCGATGCTTATAAAGCTTTGGCGGGTTGACCTCGAATCAGATCATGATGACCTCGCTGCACTCTCCGTTCAGCAGAGAGCTTCGGACTGTACCATCGTTCCTGCTTCGACGCATCTATCTTCATCATGAGCCAGAGTAGTTCGGAAATCATACAGCACCCAAACTCCCCTACTTCTCAGGGCACAAAAGTGACTTTGCCACCGAACTTGACGCCCGCTATCCTAAAGGAACTTCACATGGGGGGAGCTCAGGTTCCAACCGGATGGTCCGAGCTTTCAGCAGGCTGGTCTGAGAAGCTAAGACTCTCAACCCTAAACTTTGTTGCCCTAAAACCCTGTTTGGGGTTTGAGTTGAGGGTTTAGGGTCAGAAGCTGTCTAAACCCCTGTGATGCTTTTTTCACTCTATCAACCGTAGGCCGCTGTGCCACGATCCCATCCCTGTCTTCCTGGCGTCCCTTTTCAGGTTGTGACCACCCCTGTGAAGTTTCTGAAGCCTCCGTCCCAGCTTGTGTGTGGACTCTGTGACTATGCACCGAGGTTGTGGTCAAA